AGGTTTCCAAGAGAAGACAGATTCTGCCTCAAGACTGTAACATGGAAATCCTGCCGGATTCTGTAGCCTGCCTGACCCTTGGATTTTGGACTTGCCAGCCCCCACAATTGTGTGAGCCAATTCCTTAAAATCAATCAGTTAATCTCTGTCTTTCTCTCTGGTATCATATATATATATACATATATATATATATATATAATACTTTAAAGATATATATATCTTTAAAGATATATATGTATATATCTTTAAAGTGTTAAAAAGCAAAGATGTCACTTTGAGGACTAAGGTGTGCCTGACCCAAGCCATGGTATCTTCAATCGCCTCCTATGCATGTGAAAACTGGATAATGAATAAGAAAGACTGAAGAAGAATTGATGCCTTTGAATTATGGTGTTGGTGAAGAATATTGAACATCCCATGGCCTGCCAAAAGAACGAACCAGCCTGTTTTGGAAGAAGTACAGCCTGAATGCTCCTTAGAAGTGAGGACAGCAAGACTTTGTCTCATGTACTTTGGACATGTTATCAGGAGGTACCAGTCCCTGGAGAAGGACATCAATGCTTGGTAAGGTAGTGGGCCAGATAAAAAGAAGAAGACCCTCGACGAGATGGATTGATACAGTGGCTGCAAAACTGGGCTCCAACATAGCAATGATTGTGAGGATGGTGCAGGACCGGGCAATGTTTCGTTCTGTTGTACGAAGGGTCACTATGAGTCAGAACTGACTCAACAGCACCTAACAAAAACAAATGTACATATATATGTGTATATACACACACACACACATATGCACTTATTATACACATATCTATACCTATTGATCTATCAGTTCTTTTTTTTTTTTTTTTTTTGGAGAACCCTAATACATGCAGTGTCTCATAATTTGGGAATAATAAAATTCTCCATGTGGACTGAAGGCCATGTTGAGAGTTCCCCCAGGATCTTGTTAGAAATGCAGATGGCCACACGGACAGGCTCAGGCTCTCTGGGGCAGGCAGGGCCAAGCTCACATTTCTCCCCATCTTCTCCAGGAGATCCTTAGGCATGCTGTTAAGAGGAGACTCACGTGGAAGTATCACAAAACGAGAAGTCCTTCTACCTGCAGCGTGTTCCAAGGCCAAACTGGGAAAGAACTCGGTGGGCTCCCCTCCAAAAGGCCACATCAGGATTTAAACAAAGTTTAAAAAAAAACAAACAAAAAACCAAACCCCTTGCTGTTGAGTCAATTCCGACTCATATTGACTCTAGAGGACAGAGTAGAACTGCCCCATAGGGTTTCCAGGGAGTGGCTGGTGGATTCAAACTGCCGATCTTTTGGTTAGCAGCCATAGCTCACTAGTCTACTCAATATTTCCTTTGAAGCGAAATAGCAGCTTTGTTACCTGCCTGCCTCTGCAAGGAGGATCACGTATCTGCACTGTTCCAGGGCAGTGGTGTCCCAGTGTTATAATTCTAGCCTTTCCATGCAGAAGACCTGGGTTCGATTCCCAGCCAATGCACCTCGCGCACAGCCACCACCAGTCTGTCAATGGAGGCTTGTGTGTTGCTATGATGCTCTACAGGCTTCAGTGGAGCTTCCAGACTAAGATGGACTAGGAAGAAAGGCCTGGAGATCTACTTCTAAAAATCGGTCAGTGAAAACCCTACGGATCGCAGAGGATCATGGGGATGGTGCAGGACCGAGCGTTTTGTTCTGTTCTACGTGGATGGCATCGCCACGAGCTGGTGTTGACTCAAGGGCAGCTAACAAGAAGAAGCACCATTATGCAAATCTGGGAGATAACTGTTCTCATTCAAGTGTGGGCAACTTACAGGAAAGCGCTTGAGGCTGAATTCTTCCTGATGGAAACTCTGCGACCCCGTACCCCCATGGTGAGGGAGGGGCTTAGTCTGCTAAGTCATGATCCTGGCAGGACAGGTCTGACTTCCTCATCGTTAATGTCTCAGAATTCGCACTGCTCCATTTCTGTTGCTGTCTTGGGATGGACTCCAGCCTGCAGCTTCTCACTTTCCAGGGCCACGGGTCTGGGAAACTAAGTGCCACCCCAAGGTTTAGCCTTCTCTCAACTTAAACTGGAAAATAAAATCAGGAGTCCCCAACCCTGTGGGGCCTTGCTTGGAGACCTGCCCAGGCCTCCTGCCACAAACCCCTATAAATCGCAGCCGCACGGCAGGGGAGGGCAGGCGTGTTCCCGCCGTCAGCCAGGACCCGAGATAAAGCTCACGCCAGGAGAGCCGGGTACATGCAGAGGTCAGGTACACGCTGCCGGAGACCTCACTCAGCGGTAACACAGCACTCACTTCCCTCTTCGACGTTCAGCACTAGAAATCTGAAATGCAGCACTCGGACGTAAGCACTCGCTTTCTTGTGCGTCTACAGAACAAACACCATTCCCTTCCCAGGCGGAACGCAGAGAATTCCCAGGACCACAGGCCGCCTGGGACCCAGGCCTCCTCGCTCAGAAAGCACATCAAGTTATTAAGGCGCAGAACACTCCTGGTGCCGCTTTTCTTCAAAAGCCCACGCTTCTGCTTTTATTTATTGTGCCATTTCAGGTCTGCAGGACCTTGGGCTGGCATTAACTCCCTGGATCCAAATTTAGCCCAAATCCCAGAGCTGGGAGATCTGTCCTGGGAGGGAAAAAACCCCTCTGGGCTCCAGGTGGCTGTAACCTCGCTTTCACGGTGCTGGCACGGTGCTGGGTGAGGGCTGGCTGCCCACCCCGTCCTTCTGGATTGCCAACACAGCTTTCACGTCACGTTCTGTCCGACAAGATGCCCACTCTGAGCTTGTGAGACAGGCTTTCAGGTGCGGGCTCACGGTGACGGGTTTTAGGAAAGAATGCCAGGAACATGGGCCATATGCATTTTCTGGCCTCTTCCTGAGTGCAAAATATTTAAAAAGCAAAAGAAAGATGTTCAAAGAAACACCTGAGTGATTATTTCTCTACTGCACCTGGTTCCCCCAAGCGGCCTGAGCTAAAATTCGCCGTCAGCAACAGCACCTGAAGATCTTGTTTACGCTGTGCCTGCTCTGCTTCTTCGTTTGACAGAGGCGGTTCCACGCCTTGTGTTTTTTATTGTGGTAAATATAGGAACCTGTGTGGCGCAGTGGTTAAAGTACTTGGCAGCTAACCAAAAGTTCGGTGGTTCGAACCTACCAGCCGCTGCACAGGAGAAAGATGTGGAAGTCTGCTTCTGTAAAGATTACAGCCTCGGAAACCCTATGGGGCAGTTCGACTCTGTCCTGCAGGGTCGCTATGGGTTGGAATCGACTCGATGGCAGTGGGTGTGGTTTGGTGGTAAATATACCTGTAGTGGGCATTGGTGGCTCCGTGGTAGAAGTCTCGCCTTCTATGCAGGAGATTTGGGTTCAATTCCCAGCCATTGCACCTCATGCACAGCCACTGCCCATCTGTCAGGTTTCAGCAGCGCATTTAGAATAAGACAGACTAGGAGTAAAGGCCTGGCAATGCACTTTCAAAAAATCAGCCATTGAAAACCCTACAGATCACAATGGTCGGATTACTTCGTATGTGGATTCGCCATGAGTTGGGGACCAACTCAACGGCAGCTAACAACCAATATATATGTAATGAAACATTTGCCACTTCTACAGTCGTCACACGTACACTTCAGTGACTTTAACTTCTGTTCCTCATGTCGCTCAACCCTCCCCCTTATCCGTTCCCCATATTTTCCATCATTCCTCTATTTTGTAAAAAGGACTTGCAAACAGCTGCTGAAGTAAAGGGTCTATCAGCCTTCCCCTCTCCTTTCCCATCACTCCGGGTTTCAACCCATCACCCAGCAGTCGCACCCAAAATTACCATCAAGGACTTGTGTTCCTGCACTTGAGAGTCTACGTAGAGGCTCCCGATAGAGACACCCTGTGTGATGAACTGTTTCCCTAATAAAGCCCTAAATTTCAGCCCCATAACCTGCCACCTGAGTAATGAGCAAAGCTGTGGCAACCGGTAATGCTCTCCGAAGACGCCTCCTGCGTGCTGGAGCCCAAGACCAGCCAAGCACACCCGCCCGCCCGCCAATCCATCCATCAGCTTTTGCTGCCGCCACTGTAAGTCAACGGGATAGCGGCAGACAGCTGTCAGAGATGAAGCAGGGCATCAGGGAAGGAGCTTAATGAAATTTTATTTTGAAAATATGGCAAGAGTCTAAGGCACTTCAAATACTTAAATACATACAGGATCAAAGTACATGTGACAAGGTGGAAGGGACTCCATAAATACACAGACAGCTACACTAAGTTTCCCTAGAGGCAAACGCAGAGCCAGTTCCTCTAGCAGAGTTCAGCCGTCAGCATTCGACACAGGTGGGGCTGTGCAATTATTCATAAAAATACGGTCGTGTGACATGTAGTTCTGCACGTCTTTAGCTACTATGGAATATAAAGGTTGAAAATACTGTGTCAACTTTATATAGATACCTCTTATATAAAAAGTCCTAGCATACGTCCACCTAGAGAAAAAACCAACTGCCGAGGGCTCCTTTTGAGAATTTCATACTTTTGCAGAGTTCCAGCTTCCATTTTAAACCACAAACCCACCAGGCGGGGCCCAAGATGCCGATGGCCAAGGTCATCTCACCTTTGTTACTTAAAAATGTAAAGACAACAGAAGAATCCTCCTGGAATGGAGTTTTGGAGGAGTTTTCCGATGGCCCTACATTCAGTACATATAAATATCGGTGGAAAATGAAGGTATCCCGATGGCAGTGGGAACCCATCACTGCTTGGGGGTGGAGAGTGTTCCTCAGTTGCCCGCTCCAGTCAGGTTACAATTCCCTCCTACTGTACACAACAGAGCAGAGACTCAACTGCAACAGACTCGGGGTAAGGTGTGTCCTGCACAGACGGCAGCTGGCCAGAAGGGGGCGCTGGGTGCCCTGCTTGGCCATCTTCTGCAGCGGCTTCCACTTGGAAAGCTTCTCCTTCAGCCCTCGGCTTTGTGTATTCCGTTTGCTGGTGACCTCAGGCCCGAGATGAATACATTCAGATCTGTCACCGCAAACAGGAACACTTAGCAGCTCTTTGGTGGCACATCCGTGGAGGGCTACGTGCACATAATCAGTCAAAGGAGCCTCGGTGGGTGGGGCCGGGAGACGCCTTCCTTCCAAGCCTAGGAGTGCCCTAGAGACCAGGAAAGGAAAAAATGGGGGGTTAATAAGTGACCTTGGAGTCCCTGGGCAGTGCATGTAGTGGACATGCTTGGCTAACCAAAAGGTTGGAGGTTCGCATCCATCCGGAGGTGCCTCCGAAGAAAGGCCTGGTAATCTACTTACAAAAAATCAGCCACTGAAAACACTATAAGCCATTGAGGGTAGATGAACCCCCAAAACTACTGCCTTGAGATAATCCTTAAACCAAACGATAGCTCAGCTGAACTAGTAAAGAATGTCTGCCTTAAGTATTGTGCTCTTTTAAAGAATTATCGACATAAGACCAAACTGACAACGGCAACTCGAAAGATTGGACAGGAACCTCGGGGGGCAGTGAGTTTATGTTAATGGGGGAGGAACAACTCGGAAAAGGAGGGTGAGAATGGTTGCACAACTGGAAGAAGGTCATCCGTGTCAATGAATTGTACATGGTGGAATTGTTCAATTGCTGTATGTTCTGCTGTGTATATTCTCAACAAGAAGTTTAAAAAAAGAAAAAAACTTGGCAAAAAACTCCCCAAAACATATTTTACATCACTGTGAGTACACTACCTCCCTCCACGTGAAACAGAAGTTTCACCAAAAAATACGCAGAATTAGGTGTATTGCATTCTGATAATTTATTTTGTGCTAATAACTGGTAAACTGATTTTGATTTAAAAAGAGAGAGAGAGAGAGAGAAGAAACCGTATGAAGCAGTTCTACTCTGACACACGTGGGGTTGCCACGAGTCGGAGTCAGCGCCACACCTGGCCTGGTCACGTGACCTCAGGCAGCTGTGTCCTACGTGACACAGGACTCGGTCCACCACAGCTGCCAACCGCCGGTGAGCCAGAGCCCAGAGAGCTGCGGCTGAGGACCCCCAGCAGTGCCCTCCCACTGTTCTAGGGCGGCCCCTTCCCAGTCAGAGTGGGTTCTCAGATGTGAGCATAGGATGACACATTTTCAGGAGAGGATGCCGGGGAAATGGGTGATATGCATCCTCTGGCCTCTTTCCTGAGCGCAGTAATGTTTAAGTAAAATATAAACAGTGATGTGTCTCTAACGCACCTGGCTCTCACCAACAGCCTTGGTTAAAATTCACCCCCAGAGACATTGCCAACACACTGGTTCACATTTTGCCTGCCATGCTGCTTCATTTTAAAGAGACGGTTCCAGTCCCTTTATTTTTCTTATTGCGGTAAATACATACGTAATAAAACCAACCCCCTGCCTCTTGCAGAGCCAGGAGAGCTCCAGTGGTGCAGATAGCTAAGCTCTCGGCTGTTAACTGAAAGGTTGAAGGTTTGAGTCCACCCAGAGGCTACCCACTCTCTGCTTTGTGGAAAATGCCAGGAACACGGCAGCCTGGATGCGTGTGCTCAGGGTGCCCACTGGGACAGTTCTGCTGGGAATAAAAATCTCCGTGTGACAGACGAGAGCTCTGTCTTCTAAGGACAAGCAGGGCTGACCCTCAGTGCCCTGGCCTTCGGGTGGGCAAACAACCATTACCTCCTAAGTTGCAGACTCAAAATTTCATTTCCAGAACCTCATAAAGCCCGTGCCTCCTGTCAGTTCCGGGTGGAAGGGGGCCCACCCATCTGGGGGACTTCAGCCTATTTACAAAGGCCAAACATTCGGCACTGACCGGAGACTGGGCCTTTGCGAAGTTGACGTGGGCGTAGAGAAGAACCGCGATGTCCTTGTGTCCTGCCTCCAGGGCTATGGAGAGCGCAGTGCTGCCATCCTGAAGGTGGAAAGAACAAGCTGCGGTGGGTTTCCGAAACTTCCAGACAGCCAAAAGGCGGAAGAGCAAAACTCCTTCTAGCAGTTGACCAGGTTCCCAAATGTCCATCTAACCATCTGTTCAGTCCTTAGGAAACCGAGACCTCAGAGTGCTGGGCAGAGTCCCCGAGTGGTAAAAATCGTTAACGTGCTCGGCCGCTAACTGAAAGGCTGGAGGTTTGAGTCTACCCAGGGATGCCTCGGAAGAAAGGCCTGTGATCTACTTCTGAAAACCCAGCCATTGAAAACCCCATGGAGCACAGTTCTACCCTGACATGCAGGGACTGGAGCCGACGCGAGTGCAATGGGTTTTTAACGTAACCGTTTGCACGTGGTAGGTATGGTGTGTGTTCTGCTTCACACTCAGGTAAAGATTTTGATGTGTTTGTCTGTACACTGTCCAGCTGGGCAGTGAATGGGGGTGGCCTGGATGGCAGCACAAATGTATGAGGAGAATAAGAGGGGCAGAACTCACAGGGGCCCCTCCCTGCGCCCCCCCAGTCCTCTGGCACGGAGGTCCCGAGGTGGTGACGGCTTACGTTGTCCTCCAGGTGGCCGCTGCAGCCCGGCTGGGCCAGCAGCAGCTTCACGATCTCCACGTGTCCGTGCTCACTGGCGCACATCAGGGCCGTGGAGCCCTCGTCGTCCTGGATGTTGACGTCGGCCCCGCAGGCCAGCAGGCCCTTCACCATGTCTATGCGCCCGTGACTGACCGCCAGCATGAGGGCCGTCTGTCCCGCCTGTGCGGAGACAGAACACTGACATCAGAGGACACGTGCAGGCCTGGCAGGGCCGGGCCTGCAGCGGGGCTGTGCTGGGGGCAGCAGGAGGGTCGGGACGTGGGATCACTGGGGCAGGGGTGGCAGGAAGGAGACTCACTTCTGGTGAGCTGTGAGCTAAGGAAGGTCCCTGTGTGGTGCAAACGGCTTGTGCTCAACTACTAGCCTAAAGGTTGGTGGTTCAAACCCATCCAGAGGTGCCTCAGAGGAAAGGCCTGGCAATCTGCTTCTGTAAAGATTTTGCTGTTGTTGGGTGCTGCTGAGTCAATTCTGACTCGTAACGGCCCTACAGAACAGAGTAGAACTTCCCTGTAGGGTTTTCTAGGCTGTGATCTTTATGGGAACAGATCGCCAGGTTCTCCCACAGAGCTGCTGGTAGGTTCAAACCACCAACTTTTAATTTCGCAGCTGAGCGCTTAACCACTGCGCCACCAAGTCTCCTTTCTGTAATAGATAACAGCCAAGAAAACCCCATGGAGCGGTTCTACTCTGTAACACGTGGGGTTGCCATGAGTTGGAATGGACTCGACAGCAATAGGTTTGGTTTTGAGTTTTTCGTTACGAGCTAAGTAAAACCAAAAAAGCCAAACCCGTTGCCATCGAGTCGATTCCGACTGATAGCAACCCCATATGACAGAGTAGAACTGCCCCATAGGGTTTCCAAGAAGCTGCTGGTGGATTCAAACTGCCAACTATTCGGTTAGCAGCCGAGCTCTTAACCACTGCGCCACCAGAGCCAAACGAGCTAAGTAAGACTGTAAAGTAATGAGAAGCTAGTTCACCTTAGCTTGGAGGATCTTATTCTAGAAAGGAGCTGGCAAGTTCGGATGTTTAAAATTCACACTGTGAACATGTCTGGACCAGGGACATGCTGTGCCTGGCACGAGGCTCTAGATACAGAGACATTCAAGAAGCAACAGACACGGCGTGTGACGGGGCGCCCCCGCGGTCTTGTACATACAGGCAGATTCACACAGCTCCGACAAACCGCTCCACACAGAGGAAACTCAGGGCAAAGGGGGAGAAGTTTCTGATTCAAAATGTAAACAGATATGCCACGGGTGTGTGTGGACAAGGACGATCAGGCAGCCACGTGAACTGGGGTGGGCCAGTGAGCAGCCAGCGTCGTGGGAAGGGAGCGGACCGGGCCACACGGTCAGCATGCACAACAGACCTGCCACTCAGCTGCTTCTGTTATTGGTGGTGAAGGAATTTGGAAAAGGATACAATGTGATGAACATAACCAGTGTCACTGAGAACTGTACACCTACAAATGTTTTGTTATATATATTTCTGCCCCAATTCAAAGACAAACAACAAGAAACCAGGCCTGTCTGCTGCCCGCCGCCGGGAGCAGCTCTAGTGGGCACGGGACACAAGCCCGCTGACCTGGCTGGCTTTCGCATTCACGTCCCCGCAGGCAAAGAGTTCTTCTACGATTCTCATGTCCTTCTCGGCCTCCACGGCGGCCAGCGCTGCGAGCATGATGGGGGTATACCCCGCCTTGTTCTGGTGGTCCACGTTACACACGTCTGCAAAGAAACACGGCCAGACTTCATCTCACTGACTCTGGACACATCGTCAGGAGGGACCAGTCCCTGGAGAAGGTTATCATGCTTGCTAAAGTAAAGGGTCAGCGAAAAAGATGGAGACCCTCAACAGGATTGACACAGTGGCTGCAACAATGGGCTCAAGCCTAACTATTGTGAGGATGGTGCAGGGCCGGGCAGTGTTTGGTTGTTATATGTGGGGTCGCCAGGAGTTGGAGCTGACTCAACGGCACCTAACCAGAAGACGCCATCTCGCAATAGCAGCAATTATGCATCTGAACTCAAGGTGTGCTATTTGAAGAGCCCAGTCAGGGGGCATCAAAGGCCAACAGTGATTTGAAAGGAAATGTTAGAGATGTTTTTACACCAAAGAGACAAAAAAAAAAAAAAAAATTTCTTTTCCCTTATTTCATCAAACCTGAAGCAACAGAAGCTTGTTTGGGGTGATGAGAAAGTTCTGGAAAAAAGGTCAGCGGTTCGAACCCACCAGCTGCTCCGCAAGAGAGAGATGTGGCAGTCTGCTTCCGTAAAGATCATAGCCTTGGAAACCCTATGGGGCGGTTCTACCGTCCCACAGGGTCACTAGAAGTCAGAATTGACTCAATGGCAACGGGTATGGGTATATTTTACCACAATTAAAAGCAAAACAAAAGTGATTTGGGGACTCTATGTACCACTAGCCTGGTCCGTTTGAACAGAGAGTTAACAGTTCACTGTCTCAGGGGGACCCTTCTGCGGACCACTCCTTCACTGCACATTTCACACATCTGCCGGGTATATTCTGGGATGGCAACTCCCATTTATAGACAAGAATGTTCACTCATGGCTATAGTTAGATACAGAAATGATGCTTTCTTTATTCCATGGAGTCCCCAGTAACAGAGTGCGTTTAGGAAGGAAGGGTGCTAATTCCATGAGAAGCCATTACGTGGCTTTGCTCCGTCCCCAGCTGACGAAACTCCCACCTTTGCAAGGTAGCTGTGTGGTGGTTGCACAGCAGGGACAAACCAAGTGGCCCACCCCTCTCTGACCTGTGACTCGGGCCCTCCGGCAGCACCTGCCCCCGAGAGCTCCCCAGCCCTGCCAGCGTCATTCCACTCAGGAGGGCCCCTGAGCCGCCTTCACCACAGGGATACCCCTTGCCTGGACGCAGCTGCACTGCAGTGAGAAGATCCCCAAACCTTCACCTCAAAACAGACCTGGCATCTGTGCCTCCCGGTTCTGTGTCAGCTCGTGCCTCTCACCAGTGACTCAGAACCAAACGCTGCTGCAGCCTGCGAATCGGCAGTGAACGGACCTAAGCGTGCTCACAGAATCCCCGGGGGTTACCAGGAAACCCCCAGGGCATTCCGGCTGTCTGAACAACAGCACCAAAAATCCTTCGCTCCCTTTGGAGTCTTGTCTAGCCTTGTCTCAGCCCCAAACAGGAGTCTCAAAACTCAAAGGCCGGGCTGGTAACACAAAAGAGGTAATATGGGTCGGATTTACGAAAAAGCCCCTACCATCCTACATTGTATAACCTGGCTACTGCTCGGCTTGACAGCGGTCCCTGGAGAAGTCAGTCCTAGTATTACCAGATCCCCGATTCCTGTAACAGAAGCCAGAAACCTGGATTTTGTGAGAATATCTCAGTTTTCGATGTCGGCAGTACATTTTTTTTTAACCCCCCTAAAAGAAGACCTCAGGGGTGGATCATCCAGCCTCTGGCTGGAGGGGGGACTCGGCGGCCACGTACCCGCGTCCAGGAGCAGCTTCACTATCTCGAAGTTGGAGTGCGACACACTGTAGTGCAAGGCCGTGTTGCCGTTGCCGTCGGCCATGTTGATGACGTGGCGCAGGACGTCTGGGGAGATGGCCTCGAAGGCGGCGATGTAGTCCCCCACCATGGCCGGCACGGCCGACTTCTGACTGGACACACGGAACCACTCATGCTGGAGGGTGTTCAGGCAGAACCGCTGCCAAGGACAACACGGTGGCCGTCAGCGCACCTGTTTATAGACTTTGCTGGGCCTGGCCCCGGCTCAAGGAACCAGGCCTTTTATAGTCAAAGTGTCTGCACTTAGAATTTGCTTTCTCAAACAACAAATGAAACCCAGCACCCTGAGAGAAGCTGGGACACCCCTCCCCATTTTAAACTACACGGACATTCTGTTGTTGGGTGCCGTTGAGTCGATGCCAACTCATAGCAACCCCATGGGACAGAGCAGAACTGCCCCATAGGGTTTTCCAGGCTGTAACCTTTACAGGAGCAGATCACCAGGTCTTTCTCCCACAGAGCAGCCTCTAGGTTCAAACTGCTGACCTTTCAGTTAGCCGCCGAACACTTAACCACTTCACCACCAGCGCTCCTTTCTCTTAACATAATAATAAAACCAAGCCGGTTGCTCTCAAGTCGATTCTGGCTCACAGTCACCCTACAGGACAGAGTAGAACTGTCCTGTAGTGTTTCAAAGGCTGCAATCTTTACGGGGGCAAATCGCCAGGCCTTCCTCCTGCAGAGCCGCTGGTGGGTCTGAAGCACTGACCTTTTGGTTAGCATCTGAGCACCTAACCACTGTACCACCAGGGGTCCTAAGTGCACGTAAGCAGCAGTAACCGCAAGCCGACGAGGGCGGGATAATGGTAACCATGTGCTGTGGAGTCAACTCTGACTCACGGCCACCCCAGGCGTGTCAGAGCAGAACCGCGCTCCATGGGATTTTCAATGGCTGATTTTTTGGACATCGATCGCCAGGACTTTCTTCTGAGGCACCTCTAGGTGGACTCAAACTGCCAACCTTTTGATTAGCAGCCGAGCGTGTTAACCCTTTGCATCACCCAGGACTACACATGTATATTCCAACTCCTCCAAAGAAACCAGACTAAGAGAAACTAGGAAGGCCGGGCAATGTACTTCCAAAACTCAGCCAATAGAAACCCTATGGATCCCAAAGGTCTGATACACAACCAATCGCGGTGATGGCACAGGACTGGACAGCGATCTATCCTGTTGTGCGTGGGGTCGCCATGAGTCTGGGGCCAGTCGACAGCAGCTAACAGCAACCATATTACACAGTGATGCCAGCTAACCGTGTGATGGATTTTCACAGTAATCAGGACAGAAGACATTAATTCACCCACACTTAATCATGCTGCGTCCTTCCTATCTCGAGCGACCTTCCCTTTGACTCCTCCCCAGCACTGGGCTGGGAGGCCATGAGCTTGTTGCCAACTTACTTCCCACCCCAATCCAACGTATAACGTCCAGTCTTGGGAAGGGAATGGAAAGCAGGTCTGGAACAAACAGTTTCCATTAGGAGCCTCTCCCCCTGACCATCGGCCCCACTTGGGCTTCCCTGAGGCCGCGGGCATGCGAATGGTGGGGCTGGTTTCACGGCTGAGGCCAGTAGAGCGTGGACCATGTGAAGCTTAACCTGGACTGGGCACAGTGCTGGTGGTGGGGACGCCTGCCAGGCTTTCTCACAGCCTCCTTTTGTCTGAGTTTACCATTCCTTTGCGCAGTGCTTACTCTTTAAAAGTTTTTAAAATGAAGGATCTCTTCCACCTCTAAAATGTGCAGTTAATTAATAGCATTAGTTTGTTACTTATAACGTACATTTCAGGGAAGTAGTGTAATGAAATCACTCATCACTTACTGAGATCTTATTTCAGAGTGGTGGAAACAAAGTTAGAATGAGTGCTATTCACTCCCAGTCGAGGGCTCTTTAGAAAGACTGCGCTAACCTTGTGAGCCCTGGTGCATGGTGGTTAAGCACTCAGCTGCTAACTGAAAGGTTGGTGGTTCAAACCCACCAGCCACTCTTTGGGAGAAAGATGTGGCAATCTGCCCCAGTAAAGATTACAGCCTTGGAAACCCTACGGGGCAGTTCTACTCTGTCCTACAGGGCCGCTTTTGAGTCAGAATTGACTTGATGGCAATGGGTTTGGTTTGGTTATGGGAACCTTGTGGATATTTTAAAGTAAATGAATTGTATACTTTAAAATGGTCAATGTTATGGTATGTGAATTACATCTCAAAAAAAAAAAAAAAGTTTTCAAGTGTATTGAAGAAAGATAAAAAGCCTACGTCAACAACACCAAAACCCAAGAAGCCTTCTCTCTATAGAACGGGTGGGGTCTGGATTGTTGTGTGTCCATCTCTTATCTTCCTGCGACCCACTCAATGGAAAAGTTCCTGGCTAGGAAAGACTTCATCTAAGTTTTTCTTTTCTTCTGCTCACTCTTACAAAGATTTCTATTTCTCCGGAGTCATCACACAGAGGCAAGGGAAATTATGTCCTCCAGGTATCCTAACTCTGTTGTTTTGTTGTTGGTTGCCCTTAAGTCAACTTCTGACACGCAGTGACCCTATGTGTGCAGAGCAGACCTGCTCCATAAGGTTTTTAAGGCTGTGACCTCTCGGAAATAGATCGCCAGGCCTTTCTTCCGAGGCACTTCTGGGCGAGTTCAAACCGCCAACCTTTTGGTTAATAGTCAAGCGCTTAACCATTTGTGCCACCTGGGGACTCTCTAACTCTGTTACTACTAAATAACTGGTATCCTGATATGGTTACAAGGCCCCAGCATTGTGCTCTCATTTCTACTATTTTTTTTTTAAATAATATTTTATTGTGTTCTAGGTGAAAGTTTACCCAGCAAATTAGGTTCCCCTTTAACAATTTTTATACAAATAGTTCCATGCTATTGGTTACTATTTTTACAATGTGTCAGCATTCTCATTATTTCCATTCTGTTTGTTCTGTTTCCATTAATCTAGCTTCCCTGCCCCTCCTTGCCTTCTCATCTTTGATTTTAGGTAAATGTTGACCATTTGGTCTCATATAGTTAACTGTTTAAGAGAGCACATTGCTCATGGACAATATGTTTATTTTATAAGCCAATCTATTATTTAGCTGAAAAGTGACCTGCACAAATAGCTTCAATTCCAAGATTAAAGGGTATCTGAGGACGAGAGTCTCGGGGGTTGCTCTAGTCTCTATTGGTCCAGTAGGTCTGGCCTTATTTTTTTTTTTTTTAGGAATTTGAGTTTTGTTCTACATTTTTCTCTGATTCTATCTAGGATCTTCTATTGTGTCCCTGGTCAGAACGGTCGGCGTGGTAGCCAGGCACCATTTAGTTCTTCTGGTCTCAGGTTAGAAAAGGCTGTGGTTTGTGTGAGCTATTAGTCCCATGGACTAGTTTCTTCTTTAAGCCTTTGATTTCCTTCATTCTCTTTTACTCCATATGAGTAGAGACCAAGAGCTGTATTTAGATGGCCGGTCGCGAGCTTTTAAGACCCCAGATGCTACTCACCAATCTACGATGTAGAACATTATCTTTGTGAACTATGTTATGCCAATTGACTGACCTGTCCCCCGAGACTATGGTCTCAGGCCTTTTGACCCAGTAAACAAATCCCACGAGTTGTCTGGATATGTCTCGGAAGGCTCTGTAACTGTGCACCCTACGTGGTTTGTTATATATATGGATATATACGCAGCGCACCCAAACACGCCTATACATACGCCTACAGTTACACCTACACATGCACGTCTGTTTACTAGCATATGCCTTCCTATATACCTACACGCATCCATATCTACCTACATAAGCACATATTTCTTGGATGTTTTTACCACTGCTGCAAAATTGTGTATGTTATAGCATTTACCAAAATTGTCCCTTTTTCTCGTGTATTTCTTAGGGTCTTTATTTACCTTGGTCAAGTTGTACTGATTTCACCCATATTTGGGATTGCCTTTCCCATCCCCAAAAGTACCAAGTGTCTACTATCTAGAAAGTGTTTCCCCCTCCTTCTTCCTCCCATCCCTGGTAACCAAAGAACTTTGCTTTCTGTGTGTATATTCATTCCGGACTTTTTATAACAGAGGGACCACACAATATTTGTCTTTTTTGTGATTGACTTACTTCACTCAGTACAAAGTCCTCCAGATTGATGTGTGTTTTGTTTTGCGGACTCCTCATTATTCTTTATAGTTGCAAAGTATTCCGCCGTTATGCACGTACCCCCTTTTGTTGATTCATTCATCTGCTGATGGACACTTAGGTTGTTTCCATCTTTTTGTTGTTGTGAATGATGCTGCAATGACCATGTGCGTACATGTATTTCTCCGTGTCACCGCTCTTATTTCTCTAGGATACACACCTAGAGTGGGACTGCTGGATCATATGGTGTTTCTGTCTCTAGCTTGCCGAGGAAGCACCACACTGTTTCCCATAGTGGTTGTATCATTTTACATTCCCACAGCAATGCAGAAGAGTTCCAGTCCCCTCACGACCTTGCCAGCATTTGCTGTTTTCTGTTTTTTTGATCATTGCCATTTTTGCAGGGGTGACATGGTATCTCACTGCAGTTTGATTTGCATCTCTCTAATGGCTAGTAATTGCGAGCATCTTTTCATGTTTCTGTTGGCTGCCTGAATGTCCCCTTTGGTGAAGTGTCTGTTCATGTCCTTTGCCCATTTCTGAGTGGACTGTTTGTCTTTTTGTTGTTGATGAAGTTTTCTACGTATTTTAGAGATTAGACCCTTATCAGATATGCCTTTGCCAAAGATTTTTTTCCCAGTCTGTAGGTTCTCTTTTCAGTCTCTTAGTTTTGATGAGCAGAAGTATTTAATTTTTAGGAGGTCTCAGTTATCTAATTTATCTTCTGTCATTCATGTGTTTTCAGTTTTGTTTGATAGGGGATGTCTAGCTGCCACTCCAAATCCTCCCGTCTGCCAGAACCACCCACCCAAATGATCAACAACTGCTGCTGCTGAGTAGCTCTGTCCCTGTTTCTGGCTTGCTCCCTGCTATATGACTGCCTGGATCCCTATGCCTCTGGTCCTCCTTCCTGCACTTCCCCTCCCTAGATCTGGTTCATGTTCTGCTCACCTTGCTTTGCTTGAGTTTGTCTACATAGTATCTCTGTTTCCTACTGGGGATTCCTGTGGGTTGCCTTCCTGTGCTCCTCACCTGGGAATGCTGCTCGCTTTGTCTCAAGACGGCCACACTGTGCTGGGCTGGCTGGCAGGGTGCCTACAATCTGTAAGTCTCCTCGTTTGCTGTTTTCATTCAGTTTCTTCCTCCCTTCAGTGTTCACTCTAATTCTTCATCCTTCCGTTTGCTGTTCTGGGTTCCCAGATTGTCATCTGTATCTATTTCACTTAGGTTTTCAGTTTTTTGTTGTTGTTGTAGGGGGACAGCATGGTGTGTGTGACTAAGCTGCCATCCTGGGCCGTCCTCTGTATTACTTTTTCCAGCAAAATTCTTTAAATACTTTTTCACTGAATGAAAACTCAATCCATTAAGATGTTCTGATTACCGAGCAACCCCACGCCAGGTGATTTGGGGAACAGAGAAATGTCAAGTCCTCCTGGGGACCATATAACCTCATATTGTGAGACGGGCAAGAGAAACAGCCTATGATGGCTATAGAAAATGGGTCCTCAGACACTAGCCCTATATCCGTCAATATTCAGGTTAAACCTGGAGGGCAATAGGAACACGGTTTTTACTGTTTGTGACCCAGGTACAGCCCTACATTTGGCTTGCAGTTCTGTGTCTCTCCCAGGCCAGGCATCTTAGTTAGTATTTCCTTCTGTATCTTTTGGGCTTTATATACTGGTTCAAACCCCTGCTGAAAATTTGCATTTCCACCCCAGATATACTGAATCGGAATCTACATTTTAAACAAGACCCCCTGGTGATTCTTATGTATAACTTCCTGGGAACTTGTTAGAAATGCAAATTCTCTCAGCAGGGGCTCAAACCAGAACAAATGGATTGGAAACCCTGGTGTCTTCACGGCCATGTTCCTTCTTCAGCACCCTAATTGAATGTCAAGGCTCAGCTAGCTTTGATGAATTTAAGTTTCTATAGCAATGTAAACAAATATGGGAAGAAACCATAAGTTAAAAAAATGATGCTATGTACTGCACTATTACGCAAAAATACACATCCTCCATATGTGTTTGCCAACTGCGCCTGCTCGTGAGGTTATTTCCGTAAGCGCTGCTATGCCAATTTTTTTCCCCATGTTGCTGTTAAAAAAATTAGCATAGTGTGCTTACAAAAATACCTTGCAGGCAGAGGGCAAGGTCAGCAAACAGACCTAGAAGGCTCGCGTTATTTGCATAAAAATATGGCAATAGTGCAATATGATTGAGTTGGGTTTAGTTGGGATAAAGTCCCTGGGTGGCGTAAATGGTTAAGTGCTTGGCTATTAATGGAAAGGTTGGTGGCTCGAATCTGCCCAGAGGTGTCTTAGAAGAAAGTCCTGGTAATCTACTTCCAAAAAATCAGTCACTGAAAACCCTATGGAGCATAGTTCTACTCTGACACACATGGGGTTGTCTTGAGTCAGATTTGACTCAACAGCAACTTTTTTTCTTTAGTTGGGATAAACAAGAACCTGGGCCAGTAGTCAAGGTACATATAATCTAGTCCCAGCACTAACTAGGAGCTGTCACTATAGACAAAACATGTAATCTTTAGGCCCTCAGTTAAAACAGGCTGGACTGGAACAGAGTAGCCCCCAGGAACACGCAGCCACGCATGTCTGCCCACGCCTGTGACAAGCATGCCAGGGAGCCACTATCTTCAGACTGGGTTTGACACACAAGAGGAAAACAATCTGTCCTTCCAGATAATTCCTAACTCCCTTCTAGTCCAAACCATTTTGCTTTCACATAGCTCTATAATCCCGTGAGCCTCGTAAATCAACATTTCCACCCACTGCAGACTTAATTTATGCAGCATGAAGTGTCGATATATTAAATCTGCTGTTAACACGCAAAGACTCAAATGTGCCTTTCTATCCAAATCCCTGTGAAGAGCTACATTTTCTCAATGCACCGAAGACAGAGCTGTCAGCTGCAGAGCTGGTCTGGCTTAAGAGAGAAGCTGCATGTTAAAATTTCACCAACGCACAAGACAGCAGCGGAGTTGGCAGCGGTGCCAGATGAACCATCATCACAGAAATATTTATCTGTCCTTATGTTATGATCCCCAAGGCAACCCTCAGCCTCTCTGGTGTTTGCCTCTGAATCTCGCAAACAGCGAGAAGAAGCCAAGTGCAGTTCTTCTCCTGTTTAAAAATAGTGGCAGCCTGCATTGCACACGGGAACATAATATGCAGTTTCATCACTGACAGGAACACAGACTTTGGCTCAGATAGGTTTCTTTTAAAAACACACGCTAGCTTGAAAGCAATGCTGGGAGTCGGCTCCCTGGCTCACAAGGTTCCGAAAACAGATGCAGAACACGCAGAAAGACGACAACGGACTGCAATTAACCCTTCCTCCTCCCCTCCCAAGGAGCCCTGATGGCGCAGTGGTTAAGTGCTCGGCTGCAAACCGAAAGGTTGGCGGTTTCAACCCACCAGCTGCTCTGAGGGACAAAGACGTGGCAGTCTGCTCGTGTAAAGATTACAGCCTTGGAAACCCTATGCGGCAGTTCTACTCTGTCCTATAGGGTCGCTGTGAGTTGGAATCGACTCGATGGCAATGGGTACCGTACCCTCCCTCCCAGCTGCAACGACACACTCACAGATGCCTCCGTTCCAAGAAAAGTGCAGGCTGGGGCGGGGCTCTCCAGGCTGGGCCGAGGGCAGTGATCACAGGGTGGTCTGTGAGCTTAACAGCAGCTGCACGCTCGGCCCATGTGAGCCAGCAACCACAGCCCAGGGGCAGCTGCAGAGCCTGGACAACTGTGCCCACTGGGCACTTGGTACAGCCTGGGACAGTGTCCGTAGGTCCGACTCACCATATCTTTGCTGGTCAAAGTTTTGGGGTCATGTATATTATTTTTCAGTAAGTTGCATGCAGACAACATCTTTTCACTTAATTCGTACCTAAAAGGGGGAAAAAAGATAAAAGAAACAGAACTGATGATTGGCCACAAAAGGAAAGTCATTTTTATACTCATCTCTATATCAGGCCTGGTGGCGCAGTGGTTAAGAGCTTGGCTGCTAACCAAATAGTTGGCAGTTTGAATCTACCAGCCGCTCCTTGGAAACCCTATGGGGCAATTCTACTCTGTCTATGGGGTTGCTATGAGTCAGAATCAACTTGATGGCAATGGGTTTGGTTTTTTTTTTTTTTGTTTTTTTTTTTTTAGTTTGGTTTTTAAAAGACAAGCCAAGCTAGGCAGGTCCTGGTGGGGGAAGGTGCTCGGCTGGACGTGGCCTCAGCATTCGAGGACCCATGCTGCCATCAATGCCAGCCCCTCCAGCCAGGGCTCAGGGCCTCTGCATGAGGGCAGCTTTCCGATTCACCACTTTTGGCCTTTGTGATGATATGAATTAACAATTGGAGCTTTTTTGCTCCTTTTGTTCTAAGTTCTTCAAACTATTTTTACTCTTAAGTGCTTGACCAGGTCTGAATTCCCGTCTACCCAATATGCTAACCCGTAAATCACACATCTGCAACCACACGCGGTGTCATGAGAAGTGTTGGCTGAACCCACATGAAAAAATAAACCTAAAGATCAGATGACATATGGTATATATGTTATACTCAATAAAACTGTTAAAAAATCAGAGGACAAGATCCTGAGCCATTTGACGACACTGGCAAACATAAACTGAGCCACTTACCTTGTGTTAGTTAATGTGGTTAAACTTTCATTTGCCAAGTTAAATAGAGGTGAGTTTTTGGAGGTGTTCTGTTCATACTTTTCATAGTGAAAAACCATACTGAGGCGCTATCCTATTCTCTCCTGCTTTACAAGCATCAATTCCATTTTGCCAATGGACTTCACATTACAGCATTTTTGGGTACGTGTTTCAACTTACTAGGGCTTTTATTTCATATTTCATTTCAGCTGCTATTTATGATAACCCCAAATCCAGCCTTGTGGTGTTCCCGATCACCCAGTGGGCAACAAAATATAGACATGTGACCAACAGACAGCATCTTTACAGTAAAGCCATCTTTGGCTGAGGCCCAGAAAACCGTTCCTCCCTCACACAGTGATCCTGTAGTAACAGGACTGCCATTGCCTCAACATAAAATACAGCCTGAGACTTTAAAAAAAGGTGTGCTGGTCACCAAGAAATCCCAGTATGTCCTTCAGTACAAGGTGGGGGGTTCAAACCATGGAAACTTTAGTGACGCTTACCAGTTCTGAATGGAATTGCTGGGTGCCACAAACAGTTAAGGGCTTGACAACTAACCCAAAAGTTGGTGTCTGAACCTACCCAGAGGCACCTCGGAAGAAAGGCCTGGCAATCTGCTCCTGAAAGGTCACAGTCTTGAAAACTATGGAGCCCAGTTCTACTCTGCAACATATGGGGTCGACAGGAGTCAGATGGATTCCATGGCAACTGGTACTAGTTTTGTGGATGGCAGTTCCACATTTAAAATTAGATAGCAAAAGAAGTTTCAAAAAAAAAGGTGACCAGGTATCAAGCCATTCTCCAGGATCTCAGAGAGCCCTGGCGTTATCACGCTTTGCAATTCTGTTTACCAGCAGCATGAAAAGATGCGTAAACCTCTGAGGAACAGACAAAGGTTAGTTTTCCTTTAAAAGATCAAACAAACAGATGGGATTGCAGAATCTCCTGACTCTACTGCCAAAGTCCGTTCACCGTGGGAGGGGCCAGGGAGGGGAGGGAAAGGTACCACACCTCTCTCTGATTTCCACCTTCTCAGGTTCCCATTCTTGAACCTGCATTTCAGCTTCCACCCTGGCGGACTTGAAACCTTCCACATTAATGGCCCGGTGCGCTTCTGCCATTGCCCGTGAGTCTTCGTCCTCCTCGTCCTCCTCTTCCTCCTCGTCCTCAGGAGGGCACTCGATGACGTCATCTTCGTCATCTGACTCGGAGGAAGAGCTTCCATCCGAGCCCGAATCATCACTGGAAGTTGTCTCATACCTAGGTGGCAATTGGGATTTCAGGAGGTGCAAGGTGTACCCGTAAAGACCCAGCGACACTTAGAAATTGCCATGAGGGGAAAAGCTGTGACCTGACTCCTGAAATGTCACCAGTGGTTACAGACCCTGCACTCAGGAGTTCAACGTAGTCTACTGAAATGCTGAGTGGCTCTGACTGGGAGGTCCTCGGCAGTGCAAGCGATTAACATGCTCAGCTGCTAACCAAAACGCTGGAGGAGTTCACCCAGAGGCACCTTGGAAGAAAGGCCTGGCGATCTACCTCTGAAAAATCAGCCACTGAAAACCCTCTGGAGCCCAGTTCTACTCTGACACACATGGGGCGCCATGAGTCAGGATGGACTCAGCAGTAACTGCTGGTGATGATGGTTTTGGGTGGGTTCTGACTTAAAAGGGACAACCCAGGGTAGCAACCAGTGTCATGTCACTTGTGAAAACAAATCAGGGCACCCCGGGCTTAGTATAAACCAAGGGGACACTTAAAGGAAACCAGGTCTGCAGTTGCTCAATTTTTATCTCTGTTCCCTTTTTTTTTTTTAATCTTCCTATTTTGCTCCATTAATCCTCACAGTGCCAAGATGAACAGATTACATAAGTACCAACAGTCCCTCTGGTGTTTGCCCTCAGAACCTCCTGGGCCACCTCACCTGATGGAACCTTTAAGATTTCGGAAGCAGTCACCACCAGGCTGAGCCTTTCCGGCAGACTTTACTACAAACAGAATCTCAGCTAACTTTGCATTACTGCTCTCTTCCGGAGGTCATGTACTGATTCATTGATTCATTGCTTTGGTTCAGTTGTAGAAGGGCAGACAAGCTTAACTGTTTACCTGGGCCAAGTGGTAGAGAAGGAATAAACTATTAATAAATATTCTACTTAGAAAGCAAAGAACTGATGGCGTGGCTTGGTTACTCTTCGGAGGAAAGGCCCTGGAATTCTGATTGGGAATGTGGAGAGCTAAGCAAAGCAGCCCACTGGAAGCAGTGGGGGATGCTCCTGGTCTCCTTCCGCTTATATCCGAGTTCTGAGAGGGGTAAGATGCACTCTCCAACACGGCACAGGGAACTGCTGCCTGCCGCTCTTGCTGTAGACTATGCTTTTCAGATCAGGGGAAGCAAATGGCTCAGCGTCCCCAGGACTCCGTTCAGAAAGCAGGGGGACAGAAGAGAAGCCCACTGCACCTTTCTGGGGGCACTCTTCCGTCACCCCAGGTGGAAGCATCCCAGACTAGGTATCTTTAAACATGACTGAAGCCACAGGAGGTAAAGGAGACAGACAGACCACGTACACACTCCAGATCCACCATCTTTCTTACCCTCCGTTAATGCCGACGAACTGGAGGTTCTTTTTCGCCCCGTTGGAGTCTCTGTTTCCGTCTTTCTTCTTCATGATGGACTTCAGCGTGCTTTCGTTATTTGTATATGCTGTGAAAAAGTGCATGGAGGTGATGAAAATCAGCATAACTCATACCCATACGTAGGAGCCCGGCTGGCTCAAGGGTTAAGTGCTCGGCTGCCAACTGAAAGGTTGGTGGTTTAAACCCACCCAGTGGCTCCAGGAGAGAAAGACCTGGCGATCTGTTCCTGTAAGGATTACAGCCTAGAAAACCCTAAGGGGCAGTTCTACTCTGTCACATGGGTTCGCTGTGAGTCTAAACTGACTCAGTGGCACCTAAAAACAACATACCCATAAAAGTTAAATCAACAGGTTATCTTTCTTCACATACAGTTTCCTTTTTTCTCATTCATCTAAATGTAGCTCTTGGCACGTATATAAAGAGAAACTTGCACAAATCCATTGGAAAGTGGTGTGGATGCAAAGAAAATAATTCAAAGTTCCATGAATAACTTTCTTGAAATGGAAAAAAAAATCCGTCAGTACTTCCAGACATAACAAAAGCAGTGACTACCAGCCTTGGTATCCGGCTTTACTGCTGATAAAGTGATGTTGTGCCTCACTCGATCCTCAAAAACCACTTAGGCATGAAGACAGGAAAGATTACTATTCTTTTTCTTCAGCTAAGATAACCCAGAACCTGGACCTGGGAAAACTTATCCCTGACAGACAGGGATTGTTAAACACTGTTTATTTCATAATGAGCAACATCAGATACGTTTTCTTAAGGGGATTCCACACCTTTAATTCTTTGTCGTTAGGTGCTCTGAGTCGGCCCCCGACTCATGGCGACCCCATGTGCAATGCTGCCCGGTCCTGCGCCACCCCATGATGAGCTGTGGATCAGACCGTTGTGATACATAGGATTTTCCTTGGCTGATTTTCAGAAGTAGATTGTCAGGCCTTCTTCCTAGTCTATCTTAGTCTAGAAGCTCTGCTGAAACCTGTTCGGCATGATAGCAACACACAAGCTTCCACTGGCAGACAGGTGGTGGCGGCATATGAGGCGCACTGGCCAGGAATCGAACCTGGTCTTCCGCATGGAAGATGAGAATTCTACCATTGAACATCACTGCCCACATTTTGTTTCTTTAGTAATCACTTAAAGATACTCTGGAACGCTGGTGGTGCACTAGTTAAGAGCTTGACTGCTAACCAAAAGGCTGGCAGTTCAAATCCACCAGTCGCTCCCAGAAAACCTATGGGGCAATTCTACTCTGTCCTACAGGGTCACTATGAGTTGGAATTGACTCGACGGCAACAAGTTTTTTAAAGACACTCTAGGCCTACCTTCCTGTTATGGATTGAATTGTGTCCCCCCAAAATGTGTATCAATTTGGCTAGGCCATGATTTCCAGCATTGTGTGATCGTCCACCATTTTGTTATCTGATGTTATTTTCCTATATGTTGTAAATCCTACCTCTATGATGTTAATGAAGCAGGACTCAATCTGCAAGATTAGGTTGTGTCTTAAGCCAATCTCTTTTGAAATATAAAAGAGAGAAGTGAGCAGAGAGACATGGGGACCTCGTACTACCAAGAGAGAAGCACTGGGAGCACAGTGCGTCCTTTGGACCTGGGGTCCCTGTGCCGAGAAGCTCCTAGACCAGGGGAAAACTGATGAGAAGGACCTTCCCCCAGAGCCAACAGAGAGAGAGACAGCCTTCCCCTGGAGCTGGTGCCCTGAATTTGGACTTCCACCCTCCTAGCCTGAGAGAATAAATTTCTCTTTGTTAAAGCCATCCACTCGTGGTATTTCTGTTATAGCAGCACTAGATGACTAAGACACTTCCCAACAACTGTGTAATCTTTCTTCCAAGTGAACTTAGAAGGCAAACTGGCCTTAAATTGGGAATGCTGGCCATGGGGCCCCAGCATCCTGATGCTAAGAAATGTTACCGTAGAGGCCAGCCGCAATCTGGTCGTCTGTCAGGTTCACTGGAGACAGTGCACTCTCCTGAGCGGGGAAGGCATCCTGGCCACCGATGGGCTTCCCTTCTGCGGCCCCGACCTCTTGCTCAGGCAGGGACATCTGGGTTCTCAATGGCGTTCCGGGCTGTAGGGCTCCATGCTTACAGGCATGCTCCAGGTTACTTCCTGTCAGGAACGAGAAGGGTGTTAGCAATGTGTGATGCTAACCCGCTGTCATCGATTCTGACTCCTATCCACCCTGAGGGACAGAGTAGGACAGCCCCGTAGGGTTTCCAAGGCTGTAATCTTTACCGGCATAGATCACCACATCTGTGATGCTAAGACTGAACAAAACGGGCTAAATGTTTTTTATAAAAGATGCCAGTAAACTCATTGTTTTCTCAAGTGCTTCCCTTGTGTGTTTTGTATCTGTATAAATGGCACAACTGTCCCAGCCACCCAAGCTTAAACCCACGAATCCTTCTTTGGCTCTCAACTGCTTCCTGTTATTACCACATCTGGACCTGCCGAGCCTTGTCAGACCAACTCACACCACCTCTTCTTTCCTCTCTGTTCTGGCCGTGACCGCCCAGCGCTGGCTCTCACTACCTCTCCTCCTGACTGCCCAGCTTCCTTCACCACAGCTGCTGAGTAATGCTGCCAGTCAGCTCTAATCCCACCTCTGAACGGCCAGTGGCCGTCGCCCTGACACCAACTCATGCACCCCGTGTGTGTCAGAGTATAACTGTGCCCCACAGGGTTTTTTTTTTCCTTGACTATGTATAGTTTTTTTTTAAAAAATAATATCGTATTGCTTTTTTGGTGAAAGTTTACACAGCAAATTAGGTTCCCATTTGACAATGTCTACACAAATTGTTCAGTGACATAGTTACATTTTTCACTATGTGTCAACATTCTCTTTAATTGTGTTCTGGTTGTCCTGTTCCCCTTAGGGTTTTGAGAAGCTGATTTTTCAGAAGTAGATCACCAGGCCTTTCTTCCGAGGCACCTCTGGGTGGACTCGAATGTCCAACCTTTTGGTTTGCAGGGGAACATGTGAACGGTTAGCATCACCCAGGGACTCCAATCCCATCATGCACCCAGCTTAAACAAAATCAGACAAAACCTGAACTCTCCCACCACTCAGGAAATGCAGCCCACATGCTCAGCCAGCCACCCAAACTGTCCTTACCCCGGCACCTGCTTCTCTCTCCAACCTTATTTCCCACTGCTCCTGCGGTCCTTCCTCAGCGGGACTGGGCTGATGCCCCAGTAAATGGACCGACTCCCTGTGTATGTGGGGCCCCTCATTTTCCTGAGAGAATGCCTTAGCTTCTTCTGTTCTCCTACCTGGATCGCCCTCCTCCCCACCCTCCCATGGCCAAGCTTTCTGCCACTCAGACTTCGAGGAAGGTAGCCCCCTTTGGAATGTACTGGCTTACAACCACCACAACAAAAAAAGAAAGTTAGGAAGAGGGAGGCAAACCATCCAAAGTGAGGCATTAGAGATCATCTAATGTTTCAACTCTCACATTCCCACCAAAGAACCCCAAAGGCCACAGAGCTGGACAAGAACGCATGGTTCCTCATTCTGGGTCTAGTACTATGTCCACAAGCAATAGCACCTAGCTCCCCCTCCCTCCTCTGTAGGGGTGGGCAGCTCCCCAGGTGACTGCACAAATGCATCTCCCTCCGACCCACACACAGATACACAAACACATACATGTATATATACACACACCATACACTTATATACACAGACATATACATACACACAGATACACAAAACACATACATAATATACACACACCATACACTTACATACACACATACATACACACACATACACATATATACGCACCATACACATACATACACGCACATACATTCACACACACACATACACACACATACATTCACGCACACACAAACACAAACACATACACATATACACCGCGCACACACACACACACACACACACATACACACACAGGACCAAATCCAGTCCTCCAAACATTCCTACTTGGGATCCTCTTCCATGCTTTGGACAGTGCTGGACAAGAGAAAGCCTTTAATAAACGCCTGTGTAGTTCACCTGGAAGCCGTGAGGACTCTGCTAAGGCTAACTGGTGAGGCCAAGAACAACATCAAACATTAAACTATCTCTCATTTGCTCAAGTCAGAGGGAATTTGTAATCTGGAGTCCCTGGGTGGTGCAAATGTTTAATGTGCTCGGCTGCTAACTGAAAGATTGAAAGTTCAAGTCCACCCAAAGGCACCTTAGAAGAAAGGCCTGGCAATCAACTTCCGAAAAACCAGCCATTGAAAATCCTGTAGAGTGCAGTTCTACTCTGACACCCGCGGGGGTGCCATAAGTTGGAGTCAGCGTGATGGTAAAATAACCAGAACATGTTTTTGTGGCTGATTCTGAATGGCCTATAAATGATTATCTGAACTTGGTAAACACCCACCTGTAGTTGTAGGCCACACACAGGCTGACACACATACCAGATATGACTCTGACATGTGACTGCTGTGTTTTCTCAAAACAGAGGAAAGGTGTAGCCAAGGGGGCCAAAAATCAATTGAAGTGGTCAACATAATTCAATGGTCTCAGCTCTGGCGGCCGTTTAGACTCTTCCTGAGCTGGGGGTGGGCCTTTAAAAAATACAGATACAATTAACTACCTGCAGATAAGGCCCAGGTGGCAGTGTTTTGTCAAAGCTCCCCAGGTGATTCTGATGTGCACCAGGATTGAGAACCACTGAATTAAATGAACCTATATAAAGCCTGACTGTTAAAAATAAGAGTTGACTCCACTCTGGTTTCAACCTATCCTCTTAGATCCACGTGAGTTCTTAGGAATTACTGGTGGTTTAATTAGCAGCCCTGGACCACTGGTGTTAGAAGTTCATGACGAACAGTAAATACTTACACAAACTATGGCCTCATCTACCCTGAGACCAGAAGAACTAGATGGTGCCCAGCTACCACTACCGACTGCTCTTATCAGGGCCACAACAGATGGACCCTGATAGAATGGGATAAAAATGTGGACTAGAACCTCAAATTTCTAAAAAGAAAAAAAAAAACCAAAAAAAACAAAAAAACACCAGACCAACTGGACTGGTTGAGACTGGAGGACTCCCCCAGACTACTGCTCTGAGATACTCTTCAAACCTCGAACCGAAACTAACCCGAGATCACCTTGTAGCTGAATAACCAATTGGCCCAAAATTAATGAGTATCACCCATAAGTATTGTGCTTCTTTAAAAATCACCTGTATGAGACCAAACAGACAGCGATTACTTTAAAACAAAGATGAGAATGTAAGGGGGCAGGGAAGTTAGATTAATGGAAAACAGAACAAACAGAAGGAAATAACGAGAATGTTCACACATTATGAAGAATGTAACCAATGTCACTGAACAACTTGTGTAAAAATTTTTTAACGGAAACCTAAACTGCTGTGTAAACCTTCACCAAAAACACAATATAAAAAAAAAAAAGAGTAAATGCTACCCATCCAAGATGGATAAAACAATAGGAGAACCACAAACCACCTTCAGAATTCTGGCACCCTTGCCTAGAAACTCACTTGGCCACCGGGGGCAATGGTTTCCACAGGCACACTGGGGTACTGGCGAACAGGGGAGCAGACAACTGTGAAAAGTCTTCAGTCATTAACTCAAACTTATAACTGCCATAAACGCCAATAGAGCGTGAGCCTCACTGTATGACTTGGCCAGATTAGTGATGAATAAAAGATGGCAAGTAACAGATATCTCAGTGTTCTGGAAATTACGAGCACCCTTGATGCATTAATTCTGACTCTAAGGGGCACTTATGTTCACATTTCACAACATATGGATAATTATAACAGATAAGGCAAACTATAATGAAAATTAACTTAAAAACTTTTTATGTCCTTGACTTTAGGAATGTCAGAAACAAACTGTTTTAAAAGAAAAATGATTCAGTAAATAACAGAGCTGGAAGAGCGTGAAGGAGCTCATCTTCTCCCATGTTCTTTGTGATGTTTATCCTTCTAGAATGGGTGGTGGTGTTGGGTGTCATCAAGTCGATTCCGACTCATAGCAACCCCACATGACAGAGTGGAATTGCCCCATAGGGTTTTCTGGGCTGTAATCTTTACAGGAGCCGACTGCCAGGTCTTCCTCCCGTGGGAGCGCCTGGTGGGTTTGAACCACTGATATTTCAGTTGGCAGCCGAGCACTTAACCATTGCATCCCAGGGCTCCTTAGAATGGGTGTTAGTTGTTGGTATACAGCAATGTGTTTCTAAATTTGTTAGAAAATTGATTTTTGAAAAGATATTTAAATGGATTTTAAAAGATGCTATGTTCCCATATTCCAATGTTCTGGCGTGCTGACTCAAGTTTTTGTTTCTTACGCCACGGGCTTTCTGAAAACACGGTTAGGAACAACGCGGCCAGTTAACTAACCATGTCACCATACCAAATTTTCAGTTAGGCATTCCAATTTGTTTTTTATAGAACACTTAACTTACTTGTCAAGAATAGGTAGGACGGCAATTTCCGATTCATCATGGAGGCTATGCAACCGTTTATAGATATTTTCCCAAAGTTTAGCTAAGAACTCTACAAGGACACTTCTGATTTTTCGTAAAGAAAGAGGGCTTATGCATAAATTCACCCTTTCAAGCCCAAATGTCGGCTGGGGGATAGACAGTAGAGATTTTCATGAAGGGTCGCTCCTTTTTTGGTACATAGAAAAGTATGGAGCTTTGATGGAGGAGAAAGGACAAACCCTTCCTGTTCCAGGCTCAACTCTCAGACTGCTGGAACGCCCATGTATGTGGCCACCAACATAGTCAAACCTGTTGCCAGTGAGTCAATTCCGACTCATAACGATCCCACAGGACAGAGCAGAACTGCCCCATAGGGTCACCTAGGCTGTCATCTTCAGGAAAGCAGGCTGCCACAGCTTTCTCCCGCTGAGCAGCTGGTGGGTTCAAACCACTGATCTTTCACTTAATAGCAGAGGGCTTAGCCACTGCGCCAGCAGTCAGCTAGCAGTCAACTTCAACTGGAAAAAGAAACTAAAATTTCTAGAGCTGCAGTTTAATCACTGCTTGGAACCCTGGTGGTACAATAGCAAAGCACTTGGCTGCTTACCAAAAAATTGCCTGTTCAAACCCACCCAGTGGCTCAGCAGGAGAAAAAGCTGATGATCTACTCCAGTAAAGATGACAGCCTAACAAATCCCATGGGGCAGTCTACTCTGTCCCGTGGGGTCACTATGCATCAGAATCTACCTGACGGCTCCTAACAACAGGGCCATTGTGATCTTTTCCTGGGAACGCAGCGGACAGTTGTCATAACGTCTTTAAGAGTGAGCTCTCATTTAGAAATTAAAATGCTACAGTGGACTGAGGATCAGGTTCTCCTTCACCACAACCCTGCTCACAGTTAATTATACATCCTCCCAAGGCCTGACCCAGAAAACCCACACTGACTGCCTGCTTAATGAGAGCTGGTGGAGTAGATGGCTCTGTGTTCTTCCAGAGACAGCGGAAGTCCTCCAATGCATCCCTAAGCTCACCTCCCAGACCTCCCAGAGCGTGAGGGCAGCTGCACTCTTCCCGCACTTTCTAGCTGCACTTTATCTGGTACCTAACACATACAGCCATGGGTTATCATTCACATCTCTGGAGTCCATGTCCCTGCTTTCCAACTGGATGCAAGTTCTTTAAGGTATAGACCACTTTACATTTCTCTCCATCATTACACCACACTTTGTATATTAAAACAAAACAAAACATTTGCAGTAAGGTTGACTCTGACTCATGGTGACCCCATGTGCATCAGAGAACTGTGCTCCACAGGGTTTTCAAGGGCTGACTTTTGGAAGTAGATTGCCAGACCTTTCTTACAAGGTACCTCTGAGTAGACTTAAACCTCCACCCCTTCAGTTCCCAGGGACACCACTTTGCATAAGTTACTGTGTGCTGCTGAGTTGATTCCGACTAATCTGACCATATGTGGCAGAGTAGAACAGCCCCATAGGGTTTTCTAGGCTGTAAGCTTTATAGGAGCAGATCACCAGGTCTTTTCTCCTACAGAGTGGCTGGTGGGTTTGAACCATACACCTTTAGGTTAGCAGATGAGAGCTTAACCATTGTGCCACCAGGGCTCCTTACTTCGCATATAAACCCGTTGCCATTGAGTCAATTTCAACTCATAGTGATTCTATAGGACTGAGTAGGACTGCCCCATAGGGTTTCCAAGGCCATGGTCTTTACAGAAGCAGACTGCCACATCTTTCTCCCAGAGGGGCTGGTGGGTTCAAACCTCTGACCTTGTGGTTAGCAGCTGAGAGCTTAACTACTGCATCACCATTAAATACATAGCTATCAACTGATAGGAATAAAAATGGGGACAGAGCAGACCTTAAACACCTTGATGGAGAGTGAAAGATTTGCTGCTCATTGTAGAATAATCAGCTGTAGCTGTCTTCCAACAGCAATGACTCCCTTCCTCCTTTATGACTGGGCATCTGTGAGCTCACAGCTGTTGCAGATCTCCATAGCTACCCAGTCCCAGGCTTCAGCTGAAACCAGCTGCGTACTTCAGGATTCGCTCCGAGCGAAAGGGACAAAGTCAGCCTGCAGCTCTTCCAGAGTGCGTGTGCATTTCAACTGTTCCCATTAGGAGCCCTGGTGGTGCAGTGGTTAAAGTGCTCAGCTGCTAACTGAAAGGTTGGCGGTTCAACCCCCCCAGCCGCTCCATGGGAGAAAGATGTGGCAGTCTGCTCCCATAAAGATTACAGCCTTGGAACCCTATGGGGTAGTTCTACTCTGTCCTACAGGGTCAGTATGACTCAGGATCGACTCCGACGGCAACGGGCTCAATGGGTAGTTCCCGTGTACAAGTGCCTGGGTGGTGCAAACGGTTACCAAACCCATCTGCTAACTGAAAGACTGGAAGTTCGTCCATCCCGAGGTGGCTTGGAAGAAAGGTCTGGCAATCTACATCAGAAAAATCAGCCACAGCTCTACCTGGACACACGTGCAGTCACCATGACTGGAATCAACTTGATGGCAACTGGTTTTAGTGGGTGCCCCTTTAAAAGGATAAAGCACTGAATTAAAAGCAAGGGTTTCAAACAAGTGCCAAGGGCTCGTAAAGGTGGTGGACAGACTTTAAGTCTTTGGAAGAAAAGATTTTCTCAGGGCTGAAGTCCTTTTCCCCAAGGTCTGTAACAGAGCTCCTAAATTCATAATTTTAAATTTTTCTGAGGGCCAGCCATCCCTTTTGAGACTGTGATGAAAGTTACGGGCTCTTTCTTCCCAAAACGCCCAAACACAAAAGGGTTCATAAAGTGATGGACCCCAGATTAAGAAGCCCTGCCCTAAGGCCGTTTATTCCAACAAGATTTCACTGACACAGAACTGGGCGAGCTCATTGGGAAGTGGTGGGTGGAGGCAGGAAACCTATTAATTTGGAAAAAGTTCCCAGGTGAATCTGATGGGTATCTGGGGAAGAGTTACTCTTACAGGATGCCATCAAGTAGAGTCCGACTCATAGTGATCCCACATGGCAGAGCAGAAATGCCTCGTAGGGGTTTCTAGGCTGTAATTCTTAAATAGACTGCCAAACGAACGAACAAATATGTCTTGGAGAAAATACATCCAGAATGCTCCTTAGAAGCAAGGATGGTGAGACTACGTCTCGTATACTTTAGACATGTTATCAGGAGGGATCAGTCCCTGGAGAAGGACACTATACTTGGTAAAGTAGAGGGTCAGCAAAAAAGAGGAAGACCCTCAATGAGACGGACTGACACAGTGGCTGCAACAAGGGGTTTGAGCATAACAACAACTGTGAGGATGGCACAGGACTGGGAAGATTTTCGTTCTGTTGTACGTGGGGTCACTACGAGTCGGAACTGACTCGATGGCACCTAACAACAAAATAACAACAACAACAATCCTTACACCAGCACACTGCCAGCTCTTTCTGCCCAGGAGCTACCATGTGGGTTTAAACCATCAACCTTTCAGGTAGCAGCTGAGTGCTTAACCACTACACCACCAGGGCTCCTTTTTTACAGGATAATCCTGTTGAAAGGGGCCCAAGGAGAAAAATCAAAGCCAGCCCTCTCACTTGCACCTCAGGAAACAGAAGCCCAGAACCTGCCTCTCTAAAGTGAACAAGTTACCTGTGCGGCCATTACCAGGAGTCCACGCACCTGACTTCCCCGTCAGTAGGACTTCCATTGCATGACGCCTTCCTAGACTGAAGCGTTCCGGAAACACTTTGTTTAGCATTATTCTGATGCTTTCCTAGCATTTATTTTTAAAAAATTGTGATTATAAAAACGGCTACTATGCCAAGTAACTGGTATATTATTTGAGCTAGCAGAAGACTCTAAGGGGTAATTTGTGAAGACTTTGCACAAGGCTTCCCTTTGGCTCAGGTCTCTGTCTGCAAACTTGCTTTCACAATTATGGGAATGACTTTAAGCTCATAAGCCTTTTTAACAAACCCAAGACAGCTGCGAGTGCAAACGTGGAAGCTGATTTAAAAAGCAGTTCTTTTGTTTGTGTTTAAGGGTAACAGATGCATTTCCTATAAATCATGGGGCAGGCAGTTAAATTCCACTGTTATAGATGGTTTTGTTTGTATGTGCTCAGAGACGTTTGTAAGTTACATATTTGTAACTACAAGTCATTTGTCTAGACTTCTCTCCTCCTCCCTTCTCTCCAGAAAGGGGGCGGGGGGAGGAAAGAAAAGAAACACTAACTTACTCCTTAAACTAATCCAATTGTTTTGCAGTAAAAAAAAAAGTATGTATTTTCTCCCTAAGGTTTTTGTTAGAACAGAAACTTATTAAGTCTTTATCCTATGAAAGAAAATAGTAAGTATATTAAACTCACATTACAAAAAAACCAAAAAAAGTTGCCCTCAAGCTGCTTCTGACTCATGGCGCCCCCGTGTGTGTCAGAGTAGAACTGTGTTCCACAGGATTTTCAATGGATGATTTTTCAGAAGTAAATTGCCAGGCCTTTCTTCTGAGGCGCCTCTGGGTGGATTCAGACGCCAACCTTTCGATTAGTAGCTGAGTACTTAAGCATTTGCGCCACCCACGGCTCCTAAGCTCACCCTGCCAAGAATTTAAAAACACTTTTTGGAACGTCTTTGGTCACCACCAAACTCCAGCTGTATCGATGCTGTGACACTGTCTCTCAAATCCTGGAAAAATGTCTGTGACATTTTATGTGGAAATAAATACATGTAGATTATGTAAGTTTTGATTCAATTTTTTGTTTGGGAAAAAAACATGTCTCTATAATACAGAGCCACACACAAGCACACGTGCACACGCCAAACACAGGTGAGGCATCAATGGCTGCGTGAAAGAGGCTTTTCCTTTTTATTTTATGCTCTTCTGAACCGTCCATCTGTTACAAGCACATACTCTAGTTATAATTTTTAGAAACTGAATAGCAGATTTAGGCATTGTGATGCTGTTAAAAATAACGCTCTTTCACATACTAAAGTAATACCATCCAACTTCAACCCTCGGGAAAAATAAACAGAATTCTATGGACTGAGCACTAACAGACTCCATTAAGGAGTCCCTGGGGGGCGCAAATGGTGAAGCATGTGACCACCAGCCGATATGCTGGCGGTTTGAACCCGCCCAAAGGCACCTCAGAAGAAAGGCCTGACAATCTGCTTCCAGAAGGTCACAGACTTGAAAATCCTCCGGGCCACAGTTCTACACTGCACACATGGGGTCGTCATGCGTCAGAATCCACTCAACAGCAACTAACAACAACACTTAATTAAATCTGACTTTGCTTTTCAGCTTTGATGCTGACTCTAAATGACTGAGTATCTACTCCATTTTGTGCTTTCTCATTTTTATCTATTTCTTTATCTTAATAACACTGTTAGCTGGGGAGGCATAATCTTTGGGGGGAGAACCATTTATCAAAATTCTGAAAAATTGGGATTGAAAACAAAGGACCGTTTGTACAAATTCTGTTTGGCCATTTGTTCTCTAGCTACATTTGCGCCTCTGAAGTTCTGGAAAGTCACAATGTGCCAGCCTTGGCTGAGCAGTTGTACTCTGCCGTTGACCACGCCGATTGCTTTATTCACATCGACTCACAGTCTCCACCACAGCCTGTGAGGAAACAGACACAATGAGCTTAAGTACCTTGTCCTGGTGCTACAGAAGGAATGTGAACCCATCCTTCTGGCTTTGGAGTCCCTGGGGGTGGTGCTAATGGTTATGGCTAACGTGCTTGGCTGCTAACTGAAAGGTTGGAGGTTCAAGTTCACCCAGAGGTGTCTTGGAGGAATGGCCAGGTCCTCGCGAAAAATTAGCCATTGAAAATCCTATGGAGCACAGATTTACTCTGACACACATGGGGTCACCATAAGTCGGAGTCGACTTAATGGCAAATGGTTTTATCTGGCTTGGGAGCCCACACTTAATGACTTCTTTATATTAAATTACTAAGTTATTTATATTAAACACGAGATTATTTATATGCTGTGTTTTGGTAGGTGTCAAATGCAAACTCCCTAACGTTTTATTTAGGGAAGAAATTAAGTTTGAAATTTCTATACGCCCTCTCCTCACTTATTAATGGTTAGGTTCCAAAGACCAGGTCATTATCAGAAAATGGAGGATGACTACATCACGACAGAACTGCCAAATTACATAATTACATAACTGCCAAGCCACTGAGACTCATGGCCCAGCCGAGTTCACATATAACCTGAACCATCACAGCCAGCGTTACTCCACTCACCTCGCACCTCGGCATTCGTTACTGCCAGACACACGTAGTTAATGCACCAAATAGTCGGATAGCAGATTTTTTACTATTGACATAAATGTGAAATGTCAGATAATGATTGCCACGGATTGAACTGTGTCCCCCCAAAATGTGTGTCTACTTGGCTAGGCCATGATTTCCAGTATTGTGTGACTGTCCACCATTTTGTCATCTGATGTGTTATAAATCCCACCGCTATGATGTTAATGAGGCAGGATTAGAGGCAGTTATGTTAATGAGGCAAAACTCAGTCTACAAGACTAGGCTGTGTCTTACATCAACCTCTTTTGAGATATATAAAACAGAAGCAAGCAGAGGCGTGGGGACCTCATACTACCAAGAAATAAGAGCCAGGAGAATAGCACATCCTTTGGAACCAGGGTCCCTGTGCAGAGAAACTCCTAGACTAGGGGAAGACTGATGACAAGGACCTTCCTCCAGAGCTGACAGAGAGAGAAAGCCTTCCCCTGGAGCTGGTGCCTGAATTTGGACTTCTAGCCTCCTAAACTGTGAAAGAATAAATTTCTCTTTGTGAAGCCATCAACTTGTGGTATTTCTGTTACAGCAGCACTAGATAACTAAGACACTGATGTAGTCTATAAGTGAGGAGAAAGTGTACTTGAGTACACCCTTCGGTACAGGAATGGATTTGAGCCTGCATATGAACAATATTCTATGTTATGTGGGGGCACAGCAATCTTGGTGCTTTCTCCACTCTGCACAGCTCCCAGGCATTGCCAGTCTACGCCTAAAACCCTGACTATATCAAGCTGCTTTCATTTTCAGCTCTTCTAACAAACACCAGAAAACAAAAATTTAAAACCCTGAGGAGAGTTCTTAACCTAGTTCCTGCCTCATGAGAACTTTAAAACATAATGACTGAAATAGAAATGTGATGTGAACTACAGAGATACTTCTGTTGAGTCATTTCTGCATGCTCTGAAAGGAGTGGCCGCTGTGGCTAAACTGTTGTTGTTTGCTGCAGCTGAGTCGGCCCTAACTCATGGCGACCCCGTGCACAACAGAACAAACACCCCCCAGACCTGCACCATCCCCATTATTGGTTCCTGGTTGGACCATTGTGATCTATGGGGTTTTCATTGGCTGATTTTTGAAAGTAGATCGCCATGCCTTTCTTCCTAGTCCATTTTAGTCTGGAAGCTCTGCTGAAACTTGTTCAGCATCATAGCAACAAACAAGCCTCCAATGACAGATGGCTGGTGGCTGCACAAGAGGTGCATTGCCCGGAAATCGAACCCAGGTCTCCCAATGGAAGGTGAGAATTTCACCACTGAACCACCAGTGCCTCGTGACTGAATTAGTGCTAGTAAAAATACGTATTCTTTTGTTCACAGATGCGGGAGGTCTCAGGCATTTAGCTGATTAATTAGGTGTACATTTGCAGGGTGTGAGGAATGTCAGGCAGGCTGGAAATAGACCCAAAAACCTTGTCACACAGCCACGTCAGGGTGTGCTACAGATTACTGCAATGTTACAGCTGAACGTTTTTGGCAGGAATGTGAAATAGAAACCCCAGTCTGGGGAGGCAGGAGGAAGGCTGGGAGGACAGCACTTTTAGGATGGATGAATCCCTGTGCATCTGGGCCTGGAGGTATTCAAGAATTTTATTTTGACTCCAACATCTGACATCATGATTTTCAAAAGGATGTAGAAGCAGACATATTATTAGTTACTTAAGTAAGACTTCGCTTCAGTCCACATGGCATTTTAATCCTGTTTATTCTCAGATGGGTCCCCGTACATTTACTAGAGCCCTTTGATTCTCAAAGGCCAGAACCTACACATCAGCTGCCGTGGCGTGTTTTCCTCCCATAATAAACGATCTATCCCCCCGCACACAGTTACTAAAAACTGATACGAATTCAGGTTTAAAGTGGAAACCTAGGAAGATATAAAAACAGTCTATTTCCGTCCATTTTAATCAGCACCCTCTCACACTACAAAGAGAAACAGGAAGACTTGGACATTCTGGTAACAGCTTACTGACACTTCAGTCTATACTGCATATATTCACATGAGATTATTTTAATGCACGCTAGTTATATGACACATTTGCATACATTTTTCAAGAAGCATTTGGCCAGAGTGGAAAGTGTGTGTGTGTGTGTGTGTGCGTGTGTGTGTGTGTGTGTGCGTGTGTGTGTATTTTTGGTAGGTTTCCCAAATCTCACAGCAGAGTTTCGCATGTTAACAAGAGAAACCACACTTGACAAGCTGCTACTGCCACCACCAATCAGAACAGACAGGAGCCGGTGCTTACAGAGGGCCAGTGATGAACACATGCCGTTCACACACAAGCTTGCGGCTGGGAGCTACTCACGCCTCCATTGTACAAGTGAAGTGTAAAGAAGGTGACGTCCCTGGTCACACTGCTTAGTGAGAGGCGGAGAGCCAGGACTGGAGACCAGCTGGTCTGCCTCCAGTCCTAGGGTGACCTTACACGTCACCATTCGAGACACAGTACAACCGATAACGAGGAAAGTGTAACTTTAGGGAGGCTCACTAGAGAAGATTAACTACATCATACAGTTTTCCCCACTACCCGTCTGTCAGTCTGTCATGCTGTGGTGGCTTGTGTGTTGCTGTGATGCTGGAAGCTATGCCACCAGTATGTCAAATACCAGCAGGGTCACCCACGGTGAACAGGTTTCAGCAGAACTTTCAGACTAAGATAGACTAGGAAGACCTGGTGATTCACTTCTGAAAATTAACCAATGAAAACTCTATGGGTCACAACAGAATACTGTCTGATGTAGTGCTGGGAGATGAGCCCCCTAGGTTGGAAGGCGCTCAACATCCACAGTGGCTGCCACAATGGACTTGAGTGTACCAACGACGGTGAAGGTGGCATAGGACTGGGCAATGTTTCGTCGTTCTGTTGTCCACCAGGTCGCTGTGAGTCAGAGCTCACTCAACGGCAACTAACAATACACCCAAACCAAACCCACAGCTGTTGAGTCAGTTCCGACTCCTAGCGACCCTACAGGACGGAGTAGAACTGCCTCATAGGGTTTCCAAGGCGGTAAATCTTTACAGAAGCAGACTGCCACATCTTTCTCCCTTGGAGCGGCTGGTGGGTTCAAACCGCTGACCTTTTGGTTAGCGGCCAAGAGCTTTAACCACTGTGCCACCAGGGCTTCTTGTTAACATAATAGGCACTTATATTTTTGTCTTTCTCATCCCTCCCCTTATTCACTGAGATTCCTGTTCACCCTTGCTTGTCTTTAAATTGAAGCTAATCAGTGAGACATTGTTAGCTTCAACAACAATAGTAGGTACAGTGTAGACTTTCTTTCAGGCAGTCCAGTATAACGTGAGCAACTCAGTAACCAGAAGACGCAGCATAAAGCAGCGTATCAAACCAGCAGGGCAGAAGACCACCTCTCGGCCATCCAAAGCTAGCTGACTTTTCTTCTTCCAGCCTTAACCCTCAGCTAGATGCCACCGAAGCCCCCAGGTAATGGGAATCAGAAGAGTGGCTTACGGATTTTGATTCTTGGTCTTCACTCTACCGTTTACTGCTCTAAAACTTTCTCCATGGTTCCAAAAAATGGTTCTTTAAAAAAACCCTTAACTCCTGGAAATACTCTGTCCCTGCCCTTCCCCACCCCTAGGTCCCTCAGAGTGTGGCCTACCTGTGGTTTTACCCAGACTGGTCTTCTGGAAGCTGGGGCTCCGCGGCTCCTCAGAGCTTGCCGACTTCATGACGGAATTGATGGACGACAGGGTGCTGATGAGCTGTGAGTTGAGGGAACCAATCTGTGAGTGAGGCTCCCCAAAGGCTTCCGCAAGTTCACCATAGTTCTCAGCCAGCAGCGTCTGCTGTTCTGCCAGCAGCTTTTGGATCTGCTCGATGTAGTGGTCCAAGCCAGCCATCATTCCAGAGGGAGCCCGGGGCTGGAAGGTCTCCCTGAGCTCTCCCACAGGCTCGTCCCCAACACCAACACTCCTCCTGCTGCCTGCCGACCCCACGGTCAACTGTGGGGGCCCACAAGCTATGCTCCTCATTCTGAGACCAACCAGATAGTTGTCGTTAACATTCACCTGCCCAACCCCTGAATCTTTGGTCTTCACAGCCGATGGCTTGTCAAACCCAGAACTGCCAGAAAGCAACGTTCCAACACCAATGGATCGCATCTTAGGGGAGGAGATGATGTCCCTGACACGGCCCTCTCCTATGGCCACCGTCCGCATCTCCACGCTCCGGGTGCTGGTCTGCTTGTCCAGAGTGCTCAGGCTGGTGTTGGTGCAGGATTCTACAAGGGTGGCCATCTCGGTGTTGGTGAACTGGTCTACCTGTTCCCAAACCGTACTGGTGTGCTGGCTTGTGGTATGAGGCACCGCCATGACTGCAGCTTCCATCTGGCCAACAGCCTCCGTGTTCACGCTCCGGGAGGTGTACTCCTTCGGTGAGCAAACCGTCACATCTACGGAACAATCTCCACAACCAATAGACCGCACGTCTTTGACACTCCAGTTCATCTTGAGGAGTGTCAGGTCGTTCACAGACTCCTCTGTGTTGCTGCCTGTCTCACAGACACTGACGTCCACACCCACGCTCTTGTCACATGTCTCCACAGACCTCCCAGCACATCGGTCGTGCACATCCACCCTCTCCTTAACAACCCACCGACTCATGGGCAGCTCAGGCCCCACGACGACGCTTTTACAATCAGGCTGGCAGGAGACGCCCACGCTATGTGTTGGCACAGCGGTCCCGACACAGGTGTCCACCATGTCCACGTGGCTGCCCACCATTTGGTCTCTTCTCTGCACCACAGCCTCCACCATCTTGCTGAAGACAAGAGGCTGGGCCAGCACGGCTTTGTCAACTTTTTTCCTCGATCCGGCGGCCTGCAGTTCTTGCTTCAGTTTCGTCATTTCCCGGTCATGGGTGGTTTCTCTAAGCTGCACCTCCAGGCGGTAGATCTTCTCCTTTAAGGCGTCTATAGTCTGCTGCTGCAACTCAATTTCTCTGTCGGCCTCCGTGGTCGTTCCTAACATGGCCTCTGTCACGCTGACCCCAGAATTCCTCGTCTCAGTGACTGTCCCGACAGCCACATCCTTCCGGGACCCGGAGCCCCTGCGGTACACAATGATGTCGTCCATGTTCTCGTCGGCACCCACCGCCACAGACCGCCTCTCTTGAGGCTGGCACTCCCCATTCTCCCTGAGCCCCGAGGAGGCCTCGTAGCTGCTGTCCTGGATCTTCTGCTCCAGGGCCTGCATGTCTGCCGTGAGCTGCCGGAACTCCTTCAGCCTCTGCGTGCTCTGCTCCACGCCCTCCATCTCTTCCTCCTCGTAGTCAATGTACAGCTCCCCGCCGCTCCTCCGGGCCTGGGACAACTGCTCCAGCTGGGAGGCGTTGCCAGCACTGTAGGACCGCTTCCGCAGACCGCAGACGTCGTTCTGGGGGGCAGCCCTCTGGCTTTTCAGCTGGGAGGCCAGCTGCCTCTTCTCCTCTTGCAAGACGGAGATCTTGACCTGGAGCACGGGGATGGTCCGCACTTGCTCCTCCAGCTCCTTCAGACGTTTCAGGGCGATGGCCATCTGCTCCCGAATGTGCTGCAGGTGGATGGGGCTCACGTTGGTGACCGGCGTGGAGACCCCCGAACTCAGTGGGCTGTGGCGAATGGAGCCCCCCATGGAGGAAGTGGTGGCTGCAGCCGGTGCATAGCTGCTGTAGTCCCCATTGCCTTGGAATCCATTCTGAAGCTGGTGCACAGCAGGATTGTAACTTCCGGAACCTACACAGGAGGAGAGGGAGCTCGTGGAGCCCATGCCTCCAAAGCTGGCCAGCCTGGGCCTTCGGAACTCCCCCGGTGCCCCCTGCATGGTGACCCTCTCCTGCTCGAGTCTTCGCCGGGTCTCCATCAGTGTCTTGGTGACATGAAGGTTGTGCTTTGGAAGCTGGGGTGAGGGAGGTGGCAGCTGTCGACTTTCTGGGATGGTAAGGAAGGTGGGAGAGGTCTCCAGAGGAGCAGGTGGCCTTGGGATTGGAGTTGACGTCACTTGGCTTCTGGCTAGGAGGAAGGTGGGGCACTGCTTGTTCTCGTCACTGTTGGAGGAGGAGAGGGACTCAGTAGAGGTCCACACGCCTTGCTGACCGGGTGTGGCCCTGGCTCCTGGGCATTGTGCAGACGGCTTCCGCTTCTTCTGGATGTTCAGTTTCTTGATGGTGTTTCCCTTCTGTATGTCATCCACGTATTTGAGAAAGTCTAAGTCTAGCTGATAACCATAGGGGGTCTCCACAAAATAAGGGTCTTTCTCTTCCTTGTCATGGTCTCCATTCAGAACATCACCTGCTTTTCCTAAGAGAGAGAGAGAGGAGAGAATATTATAACGCCATGTGATATACACAGCGGTGAAAACGAACATGTGTGCAGGGTGCAGTGTGGCAAGCTGGCATGACTTTAAGAGTCTGACAGACCTACGTTCTTATCCTGGATCTGCAACTTACCAGCTAGATGAGCGAGTTAATAAACCTCTCTGAACTTCAACTTCTTGCTAAGAAAAATGGAAAATACAAGTACTTAACTCATAAAGTTGTTAAAAGAACGCAATGATACAGTGATTTTAAAGCGCCAAATACATAGTAAGTTTTTACTAAATAGTTCAATTTTTTTTAAAGAATGCATTAAAAAGACCTGGAAGCCTTTTCAAATACGTCATTGCTTTGGTTCTCTGCAGTCCCTTGAACGTGGGTAGTAGACGTTGATTCCTATTTTACAAAGTGAAGTCTGAGCACAAAAGGTTAAGTCTTACAGAGCAAGTCGGCAGCAGAACCAAGAACCCTGGGAGGCGAGAGTTCTCCAGCGCCTGCTCTTTCTAAACAGCAGCCAAGCGCCCCCTAGTGCCTAAGTGCAAGATCACAACTTGCCTCCACACCTTCCTTGCTGAGACAGCGGGTGACACAGAGGACACTGAATGATTAACCCTGGCAGCATGGGTGTTAACAACACAGCCAGAGGACAGACTTCAACTCTATCTGTATCATCCATTTCTCAATTTATCTCCCTGTTTAAAAACAACAACAACCAAAAACCTTTCCCAACTTGAAAAAAAGTCTCCTCCTCTTTGACTTATTTGGACAAAACATTCACTATCCCACAAACACGCCTTGCTTTTTATTCAGGAGGAATCAAAACAGATGCAAAGGAGAATGAAAGCAAGGGCCAACCTAGACTTTGACCATTGGGTATGTGGCATTTGGTAAACGCTACTTCTGGCCAAAGCAAACATTTATACAACGAAAACAGAAGGATTCTTCAAAACATAGACCTTGCTGCTGACCTGAGCAATGCCTTTCAAAACTGAAAAGCAAGGCTTTTTGGCTGAAATTGTAGGATCAAGCAATGTGTTTTCCTAGAGTCATACCAACAAGCTTTACATTTTTTAGAGCTCTGGAAAGGACATAAAAGCAACCAGAGAAAATGTAAGTCACCTGTACCCCCTCTGTCCCTTATCCTAGGTATACAAACCCATGTGATCGCTGTCAAGGTCGTGGGTCTCCTGCCTGCCCTCCCAACTCCCAAGCTGAACAGTTAACACCTGACAGAGCAAATACTTTGAATAAATGTTAAGAGTTTTGCCTCCATCCAGTCACTTTCCTCTTCAATGCTGCAATGAAAAGTACTAAAAGAACATCGCCAAACAGGGGAACAAAAGGGTTACATACTCATTGGGTCTGGATTTAAAACATTATTAAATTGCTCTAAACAAACAGAAAATAAACTTGTTGCCATCGAGTCAATTCTGAATGACAGTGACCCTATAGGGCACAGCAGAGCTGCCCCAGAGTTTCCAAGGAGCAGCTGGTGGATTCAAACTGCTGACCTTTCGGTTAGCAGCCAAGCTCTTAGCTACTACACCACCAGGGCTCCTAAACTGCTCTAGCAGGTAGAAATTAAGCACTAGATTTTAATTCCCAAACACGTGGCAATAGAACTCTATTTGCAAGACGCACTCTACCCCAAGAATGAGTGCCCCCAGCAGGAGTGCCTGGCCGGCAAATGAGCACTCAAGCTAACGAAACTTGTCTTTCTTTCTCTCTTGCTTTAAGTTTTCAACTCCACTTGGAGAAAACGCTCACTCAAAGTATGCAGCCAGACCTGTTTCCAGGGCTGTATGGAGTTCCATAATCAAAGAGAAACTGCAGGCTCGGGTAACAGACGGAGGCAGACAGGTCTCTGGGCCGTGGGCTGTGCTTGTGAGCCGGGAGTCTACAGTAGACCCCTCTGGACCAACCAGGTCTCTGCAGTACAGAGGCTGCTGGGCTCACAGCATTTCTTCCCGGGCCTCTCCCGGGCCACAGGGGAATTCAGGCAGCAGTGCTGAGGCCCTGCACTCTTCCACTCCCCGCCGGCCTGCGCCACTCACTCGCCCGCCCGCCTGCCAGCGCCGCGTACTCGCCCGCCTGCGCACCTACCAGGAGCCTGCGGCCAGTCCGCCCTGCTGCGCTGCACCCCGCGAGCTCGCCGCACCAGTGCTCGGCCTCGGATGCCCGCGTTCCTCGCCCCATAAGGAAAGGAGGTTCAACATTCATGTCAGCCAGGCCACGCACACACACCATAGGCCGAGCATTCACCAATGGAGTCCCCCTGCGGCTTGGGTTACACCACCCCCGGCACAGTCAGCTGTTCGGCATTCCCTGTTTACTTAATGAAAACAGGAAGCCGGGCTCTTTTGAAAACGCGTGTGCTCCAGTGCGCTGTTGCCAGGAGTGAAAATAAGGCCAGCAATTTAAACGCCGCCACAGAGGGGCCCTGTCTCTCCTGTACGAGTCACTTCTTCATGAAAGACTTTGTGTTCTGGTGTGGAAAGCTAAGTGGCCTTGGCCCTGGGTCACCTAACGAAGCCCAGGGACACAATTGGCCCCAGTGTTCTCGCAGGTTCTGAAAAGGCCCCGGCAGGACCCACTGGTGGAGAGCACGCGACCCACTCTTCTCAACATGGCTGCTAACAAGCAGTTATCCTGTAGGATTAACCTCGACGGAGCTTTGCCGTTGGTGAAAGTCTTCTTTCAGTCTTAAAAACCAAACCAAATAAACCACCAAATAAGAAAACTTCTCCACCCCCAGTTACAAAAGCAGTGCATACTTTAAAAAAAAAAAAAAAGTGCCATGTTCAGAACTATTTTCAGAACCAAAGAAGAAAAAAAGTCACTCAGAATCTCACCACCTCGCACCAAATGTTAATATTCGGGCATAACTCCTTTGAGGTTTCTCTGTGTATTTCTTCACAGCTGCCTCTCCCACTTAACCTTATAGTTAAGCATTTTCTATAGGAAAGGTTTTTGGTTCTCCTTTTCCCTTCAAAAAAATGTTTGAAAAATGAAATGAACTGATAAAATTTCAGGATTTAGGGCATGGCAAAACACATCACACTTTACAGCCAAAATTAACTGGCCACCCTTAGTTCTTTCTGAAGTTCAACTCACAGAGATCATAAAAGGTTTAGGTCCCCTGAATTATCTCCAAATGAACTTTGGACTCTCAAAGCTGGGCATGGGTAAAGGTTTGAATCTAACCATGTCGGGCTTTAGTATTTCCTAATACTGCTTGCACCAGATCCATTCCGAACCTGGCTGAGGTTCCCTGACCCCTGAGTTATACACCAGACTATCCTGAGGATTTGTAATCCAAGTTTCATTCTCCATCAACAGAAAGAGCAAGTGTGTTGTCAAGGTGTAAGCTTTACAAACAGCTGTCGGTGGTATATTCTACAACTAAATAAAGACATCCAGGGCCATTATTTTTTATCTCCTGCTTTCTACTGCACTTTTACACACTCTAACATACATATGCCACTTAGGGGGCCCAGTTACATTTTCCAGCTGCTTCCTGTATGTCTCCCTGGGCTTGAATAAAAGCATCTTGAGAGCTGAAAGCTGAGTTTAAAATTCTCTTCATCACCGTGCCCTCCCAACCACGTACCCATTCACAAGATGATGCTGGGGACAACGCAGATGTTTCAAAATGTTTCCTGAAGGAATAAATACTTGAACGTATGATATCCTGAACTTTGAAAAGAATCTCAAGGTCTGCAGACACAAGGTGCTCATTTTATATTAGTGTTTCCTGCATGATGCTTTTCAGTAGTTATCTTTAGGTAGAGGAATTATGGGTGGTTTTCATTTTGTTCTCTGTGTTTTATATAATTTTATGACACACAGTTATTAGTCTTTCAAAAAATATGACTACAAGAAGTCACTGTCTGGAAGGCAAGTGGAATGCATTGAAATAAGATCTGAGAGAGTTAATGTGGCGGGGGGAAATGGAGGCAGTCGTGAAAAAACAGCTAGATGGTCTCAATAATCGTCCTCCCGTTCTTTGATGCTAACAAACCAGAAACTGGTTGCTGTGGAGTCAGTTCTGACTCATGGCGACCCCACGTGCCTCAGAGTAGAACTGTGCTCCACAGGGTTTTCAATGGCTGATTTTTCCGAAGTAAACTGCCAGGTCTTTCTTCAGAGGCGCCTTGGGGTGGACTCGAACCTCAAACCTTTCAGTTAGCAGGCGAGTGTGTTAACTGCTCTACCCAGCAGCTCCTCCATGCTAACAGAACCCCCTATTTTTAGCTGGGCAAATAGAAAGGCTATGTTTCCCCAGCTTCCTTTATTGATAGTAGGGTCATAACTGTAAGAACAGGTCATGTAGCTTCTCCCAGGAGTTTTAAGTCCTTCCTTAACTCTTTAGTTACTATTGGTTTAACGGTATACCAGCCACTTTTTATGCCTCTGCACCTCAGAGGTAAGGTGTATTCTGGTTCTAACGCATGTGTCAAAGTGGGGTCTTTAGAAATGCGTGCAGCTCAGCAGACCGGAGTTGGAGCCTCATTGTTGTGTAGGTTGAGCATTCTGTTAGGTGATGCTTCCTGGATGTGTTAGTTTTGTAAACATTTGCCTTTTGTCCTTTATTTCTGTGAGATAAGGCTTGCAAGCATAATTACGGTTTTTCTGTGTGATAGTTAGGGAGCCCTGATGGGTTTGTTTTGATTTTTCTGTGTCATATTTGGAAAACCAGAGGTTCCCCATGTAACGTAATGGAAAGGCATTCGCAGTAAATTACACATCTAGCTCTTATTGGTATATTGTCATACCACAGATCGGTGGAGCCAGACTGCCACTCGCCTTATTGGTATTACCAATAGTACCAGATCATATTTATCAAAATCTATATTACCAACCAAAAATTTAAACACACTCAATTAGCAAGCATGCATTCCAAGACTGAAAACACATGGCACCAAAATTTAAAAAAAAACAAAACAGAAATTTGGTAAGGAAGGAATAGCTATCTGACCT